TCAACTAAAAGCATTTTCCTTAGCATTAAAAAAGGAAATACCGCTAAAAAAGAAGGTTTTAAAAGAGCAAAATTTAATCTTATGAACATATGTCGAAATTTTAGCTATCACAATTTGCTCTCTAATGTTACCACCCACATGCTTATTTGAATTCCTTGCCATCCACAAGAACCACATAGTGATAAAAGATAATATTGCTAAAAAATGGTTTTGCTTGCCCTCCAGATTCCAGGATAAGCAACAATCATCCCCCCAAGCAGAAGAAACAAAGATATGAAACAATACTCCCAGCCTCCATATATTTAATGCAAAAGGACATCTAAAATAAATATGAATAGCATTTTTCTCCTCCCTCCTGCAAAGTAAACATTGTGAAGCAAACCTCAAATCCTTTAAGTTTTAAAATATCATCATAAGGTAGTAAATTTCAAAAATGCCTCCACAAAAAGAAAGACATAGAAGGAGTGAGTGCCTTCCCCCAAATGAGCTTTCCTCATCTAACCACATTATGATGATGAAAATCCTCATATATAGCCATGGCAGTATGTGCATCAGTCGACAACTTTAGGATACATGTATCCTTATATATATATATATATATATAGTATACATATGTATATGTATGTATATATATGTATGTATATATTTAATGTATGCAACATACACACGTGTGCCCACACACATAAGAACACCAAACTTAGCATAATTAAACTAAGCCGAAGAGATAAGTAATTCCAACCTAAGATATAACTAATTTAAAATTTAACTTAAACTTCACTAACTCAAAGGCTCAACCAAGGCTAAACATACTTAAGCCTAAGCCTCCTAATAACATAACTTAAGCCTCACCCAAGCATCTTTGAATCTACCTAAGAGCACTTTTTGTGTGCTATATTGCTGAAATCTAAGTAGCCATCTCCTTCTTATCTAAAGCTCAAGCACACCATTGAAGGATCATATGTGCAATCAGAGTGAATTCATCAGATAAGCTAACTAAACCAACTAACCCAGTACTCAGGACCACTGGGCTGACCAAAATTGAGCCCTCATTGAGCCAAGTAGCTTTTAGATCAACTGCTTGAACTGACTAGTACAACCTTCTGACTAATTCACTATGTCTCCCTTAGTGAGGGAGAAGCCCGCTTGAGCTACCCCTGACCACCCTTATGCTCCGTCGAAAGGGATTTGATAGGACTAGGAATTTTGAATCTCTCATAAGAGCTTGGGGTTTCCCAATTATAATGGGCAATTGAATCCACACACTTAGGCAAACTCACCGAGATTTTCTTCTCCTCTTTAAGCTTTCCAATGCATCTACAAAGCAAACCAACCATTCCGGTACTAGGCATTAGTCGCCAAATTAACCTGTGCATCTTCGAGCTCACCATCTGAAGCAAACTTGGTTGTCATCTCCTCCTCATGCTTCATGTTTAACCAATTCTTTCAGCCTTATCTTTTCTGCAGGTGTCCTTCTCATCACCCCCTTGTATTTTCAGCTTTGGAACATAAAGTTTCCCCCTAGGTCTATGGACAAAACGAGTAGGTTAGAACCTTCTCCATAGGTCTCTGATCCTTTTGGATCAAGAAAATCCAAGGATTGATTCTTTGATTGCTCATATTAGTCTATGAGTGTGGATGATGTTTGTGCTCTGCCAGACGAAAAAGGCGAAATCATTGTTGCTCATTTTCTCTATTTAGAATGGACAATAGTGATGGCATTATTTTGTTAAATGGCACACCCGTAGGTCCAAATCCCTTAACCACGGAGCCACTAGACATGGAAGGCGTACGAGTGATGCGGAATAAGGTGATTAGGGAAAGCACACTAGTGACGTGGTACTTAATTAATCACATAAACTTTAAAAAATCATAACAAATGAAAAAACTATAAAAAATAAAAAATACAAAAAACATTGAAAATGCTCATATAACAAAGCAATACTTAGGAAATAAAATGCCTTAAAATTGGATGAGTAGTTCAAGTTTAATTTCAAAATTACCTAAAACATAAAAAAGGGAAATAAAATGCCTTAAAATTGGATGAGTAGTTCAGGTTTAATTTCAAAATTACCTAAAACATAAAAAAAAAAACAACTTACACTTAAATTAATTACCAAATCATATCCAATTTCCTTGAGATGATTTCTCATGTTCCTGGGGACCTCTGAGATTTTTCTTGAAATTTTCTCAAGCCTAATTTAAGTTTTTCCCTAATTTCGCCCCAAACGACCTAATTAACCTAAACTTTGGATTAATTAATAAATTCAATCCTTAAATTCACTTTAAACCACTAATTTTTGTATTTAAATGGCCATTAGGCTAAGATTATAATTAGTTCAATTTGGGTTTAATTGGGCTTTAGGTGTTTTAATTCCTACAATCGATCTAATAACCCTAATTAAATTAATTAATAAATTAAAATCTTAATTAAACTTTAAAATTTTAAAATCTTAAAATCCTTAAAATACACCTTCACAAACCCTAATAAATTGAACTAATGATAATCTTAACATAATGAACTTTTAAATACAAAATACGAAAATCGTAATAGGCAATGGCTACCAAAGTCATAGTTACATATAAAAGACATAGATGGTGGCTACAATATGTTTAGCTGGTTATAATTGGTGCTTAAAACAACCATAATTGGTTGTCATAATTGCTTGTGTTAGTTGACAATGGTTGGTGGTTACTCATCTGCACTTCTTTTCATGAGTTATAAATTAATTATTTTGCTCACTCTTCTCTTTTTCTCCCCAATTTCAAGTGAAGAATGGAGGGCCTATTTATAATTTTTGAGAGTATTATAGTAAATTTAGCTAAAATCTCAAAAAACTTCATAAGATGATCCACATTGATTTCCTTAATCATATTATATTTTTTAATATTTAGGTGTTTTAATGATCTAAAAATTAGATGTTCTTAGGCCGTTGGATTCCTCTCGTCAAGTTTCTTGAGATGACTATAAGTGTGCTAAAATTGAAGATTAGTTAGCATTTCACTTGATGCACCAAAGCCTTCAACAAGACTTTAAGTGTTTGATCTAGGCTTATTTGGACTCGAATTGGATCGCCTTCAACGTCACGAGGGTTAGATTGTTGAGATGCTCAATTTAAATATAAATTTCTTGAAATCAGAGCTTAGAAAATCTTGAATTTGAATTTAAAAGATCTTTTACCAAAATGCATTGAGATTCATGTATTTTCATATAAATTTCTTGATGACATATCATGTACTAACTCTAAGGATCTATAGGTAGAAATTTGGTTCTCAGGACTAATTGATGTATGAGTCTTCCTTCCAAATTGACAATTCATATATAAATGATCCTTGCAGTAGTCTAACTTAGCCAATCCTACTACCAAATCATACCAAGATAGTTTGTTAATAAATAAACAAATGAATAAAATTATCAAATTTCAAAAACATATTTATTCATCAAGACAAATAGCAAATAAGCTACTGAATTCAAGTAAATAATTGTTGCAAAAATGTTAACTATATGCTTGAAAAAAATACTTCACAATTTAGCATAGTCAAATATCATGGAGATGATCATTGAATATCAAACACTGCCACACATAATTGGTTGATGCTAATTATGTTGTGGTTTAAACCTTAGAACTTGTAGAACCCTTTTAATGGCAAATGAGACATCATATGGCATCAAATCCTATTATTTTTATTATTATTTTGCATTTGATCCACTAAAAGAATGAATGGGGTGAAGGGACTATGTAGGAGGGGAATAAAAAATTTTGTGCATACATGAGCTTAGGTAACTGAGCACATAATTGTGATCTAAATTAAAATGTTAGATAAAGTTACTATAAATATGTTATCATAATGAATGTTGTTGATTTATATAATAATTAAAATCATTAACAAAAAATAAGCAACATGAATAGCCAATTAAATAAGCAATAAATTTGATCAGATTTAGCTGCAAGTTGCATCCACACCTAATATTGATTTTAATTCCCATGATTTTTTCCTCAGTGAAAGCATTCAAAATGCTTAATTTTCAAGCTATATTATGCGCCTAATGGTGGAGTTATATAATAAGAAGTCAATGCCAAAATTGAGTCAATGAAAGCCCGACGAAGAGCCCGAGCCAAAGTTTCTAAATTTTTGCAAAATAGATACAAATATATACCAACTTATCCAATAAATAGGGGTTCAAAAAATGTGTCAATTTACCAAATTTGAATTTTAAGGAAAAAACTGAAGCCTAATTTTTGGAAATATGTAGTTAATGAATGATAGGGCCATATCTAATATTTAAAAAATGATCTTACTCTACAAATATAACAAAAGAATATTTCATACGTTAGTAAGAACAACAAGCCTTTATCCCATTAAGTGGGGCCGGTACATGAATATTTTTTCTCCATTGTACATGAATATTTTTTCTCCATTGTGTCCTATTAAGTGTCATATTTTCATTTAATTCTAATAAATTAAGATTATTTTTTATACAACATGCCATAAGTCTTTATAGGTGTACCTCTACCTTTCTTAGCATAAGTCGAATCTAAAGTATCTACTCTCCTAACCAGATCATCAGATGGTCGATGTTTAATGTGACCAAACCCTAAGACGACTCTCTAATATTGTATGTCGTTAAAGCTACACCAACCCTTTCACAAATACATTCGTTTCACATTTGTCTCTAAGTGTCAAGCCAACCATCCACTTAAGCACTTAACTTAGTTTTATGCTTCTCTTCTAAAGAACAACAAAACAGATTTTACAGCTGACAATATTAAGTGTTATGTCCACATAGAAGATAGAAAAAAAAAAAAAATGAAAGATCATGTGTCTTACCTTTATCAGTTCATTCATTTGATTTAGTAACTTATATTCATTCTTTAATGAACAATTAACAACACATCAAACACTTCTGTAACTATGGCTGAAGTCATGGAGCATTAAAATCAGATGAAGGCATCCAACATTGCAGAAACCCCTGTAAGCCTGCCCTCTACGTTCTGCGGCTGAGGTAGGTTAACATCATCTAGGGAGCTCCAGTATTGGGGTAGCATGATATTTACAGAAGAAGGCAAGATACTACGAGCTGTTTCACCATGGTGAAATTGATTTCCTGCATCATTCTCTTCCCCTACATGAGAAGAAGAAGACAGGTAAAAAAACTAGCTACTGATAATTTCATTTCAACACGGCGGCAAGAGCTTACTCGATCTTTTCAACCTTTTGTCTGAATTAGCATCAGCTAAACATTGTTACCTGAAAAAGTTGTCAATGCTCTTTTCAGCAGTTTCTAAAGCATTTAATAAAATTTTTCTTGCACCTGCATACTGCTGGCTTCTCGTAGCAAGTTCGTAGCAGTATCGACTGACACGATTCAGATAAATGGATTCAGGCTCCATATGGCCCTGCTGAGAAGTCCCATTTTGCCCAGAACTATATATCCGTTTCCTCGCTTCTTTGGTCCATCTTTTCACAATATATTTATCTGGTAACCTAGCAATGTTCTTCAAACTAAATGCTCTTAAAGCATGGGAACACAAAATCCCCATTGATTGAAACTTCTTACAAGAGCACTCAACCTCCATGGATAATGTGTCAAGATTCACAATCCATTCCTTTAGACCCTCATCATCATGCATCTTCATTTTGAATTGGTACAAGGTGCCTCCACATGGAAACTCTTTAAAAAGGAGTCCACCACCAACCCCATCAAGAAACTCCCTCTCAAATAACTTGTACATTTTGTGTGTATAAACTTGTGCAGCATGCCTCAAAAAAGGACTTTGCTTTATTGCACGCGGGGGCATGCTTTGATTGCAATTGAAATCTTCGTTAGCTTCGTTTTGGCGCCAACCATGCAGCAACTTCTCAATTTGAAGGAAACATTTTGTGAGAGAGCTCGTGTTAGGTACAACATTCAATACATTGTTATTGATCCCGGTCCGCTGCGTCGATTTGATTCCCAAATCAAAGACATCTTTATTGAATGCATTAGACCATTTTCGACGGCTTTCGTACAAGTATTTGAGCCATTCATGGCTTTCGAGGTTTCCTTTAACCAGCATGTTCCGCCATGTTTCTTCAAATTCAATCTCTGAATCACATTCTTGCATACATTTATTAAAAAGGCCCTTGAGTTCTTTGTCAGAATTAAAATTATGCACGCGAGAAGGCACATTTTTTGAGATGTGCCACCCGCAAAAATGATGATGTGTTGTAGAAAATACCATCTCTGTCGCCTTATCCATTGCTTCATCTTGATTTGTAAATATTGTGATAGGTAGCTTGTCACTCATTGACTTCAAAAATGCACTAAAAAGCCACACAAAGGATTCTGTCATCTCATCCATTAAAAAAGCAGCCCCAAACATGATGGTCTGCCCATGGTTATTAATCCCTAGAAATGGTGAGCATATGTACTTATTCAATCTGTGAGTTGTGTCGAAGATCAGAACATCACCAAAACAGTCATAATCTATTCTAGACCTACCATCTCTCCAAAAAAAGTTAGTTAGCTTACCCTCTTTATCAAGTTGTATATCCCAAAAAAACATGGCATCTTGTGCAGCTCTTTCCTTAAATAGATTTACCAAGCTTTGTGAGTCTCCAGGCTCAATCTCCATCAACCTTCGAGAGTTTATAAGCTCCTGCCCTTCCTTCCTCGAAAGCTTAACATTTTCGATACGGATACCTTCGTCAAAAAGATAAGCACTTACTTTTGTTGTCTTTATTCCAGCATCCAGCAAAGTTCTGAACACACTACTCATCTTTGCAGATGTAACTGAACGTGCCGATCTCAGCAAATGTCTTTCTTCAGGCTTAGCCAGTTCATGATTATGCTCCGCAACCAAACGAGAGACTCTCCACTTTCCATTCTCATCAACCTCGAATTTAACCATGGCCTTGCACCCAGTCCTACTCTCAAGTTTACTGTGAGTAGCTTCAGGCTCATCTTCCTTGAAACCAGCCTTTGAGCAAAGGAATTCCTTTGCTTTGATATTTTTTGTTCCCAGAAAGTAAGCATTCTTTCCCTTTCGAACGCTGAATCCAACATAATGAGCATAATCACAATAAATCTTATAAGCTTCCTTTTCACCATCAACAATCTGTCCTAATAGATCCTTCTTCCCTTCCTCAAGGCGCAGAAACTCCTCACAAGTTAGCACTTCAGTTTCACTGCCCTTTTCTAGATCAATGTCTGACCTTCCAGCAGCAGGGATGATTGAATTCTCCAATCCTGGGCTTGATCCAGACTGCTCAGAACCATCCATTTTACACTGAATCAGACCTGCTTCATTAATTCTGCCAGGCCTTCGAATTGGATCTGCCAAGTCAAAATGCCAACATGGAGCATCACAAGTCAGCATTCATAGTTGTAGATATAAATATGCACGAAATTTGATGTCGCAAATTTGACTCCATCGAGTAGATTTTGAGCTCTATCATGAAGGTAAAATCCATTCTGAGATGACATCAAGATTGACTTGACATGAATATACAAATATTCTTTGCATAATTCAAACTTTAGATCTCAGCTTTGGATGTAATGGGAAATACAACTGTGTTAGATGCCCAGGGTTTGCTAGAAATAAATATACATATAAAACATTTGATGCATATAATATGATATGTTATAAAACTTTAATCCAAGTCGATTCAAAGCTGATTAATTTCAATTATATCTAGTTAAACATTAATCAATTTCAATTTAGGGTGTTCCAGCCTGGACGGAACACTCTGAGTGTTCCAGCTCGATGGAGAAGAATCGATGCTGAACACTAGCTTCCAGCCTTTCACATTATTCTCCATCTCTAGCAGCTGTAATAGAGAGAGGCAAACTGCTAGTAACCTAGAACGAGAATAGGCACGTGAAGAGCTATCTCGACCACGGAATTCCTGACCAACAACAGAAGATGACGAAAATCATGATAAAATGAATGGAGTTCGGGAGGATCTGGGTGGGAATGACTTCATAATAGCTAAAGATGGCCTCCAACTCATGACAGAGAGGCAACCTCAAGCCGAAGCAGACTTTGTCTTTGTAAAAGATGAGGCCGGGGCCATGTGGAGTGGTCGCTCGGTTGCGCTCTCCGGCGAACCAAAGCCTGATGGAGGAATCATAGGCGCAGACATCCTGCAACCGGTCCACTTCCCCTTGGGTTGTCGTCGATCGTTCGGTCGTGACGATTGACCCAAAAGCTTTTAGAGAGTATTTTGGAGCCATTGAAATATACACAAAGAATAGAAAATTGAGAGAACGAGGAAAAGCGAAGAGAAAAAGTTAGTAAAATCGTAGCATCAATCGAAACCCTTATCTGTAAATATAAGTTAACACAAAAAAGTGGAACTGTCACACATATGTAAAAAAGGAATCGTACAATAATTTCAAAAATAAACTGACAAAAAAATCACGTCAACATAGGATTCGAGAAAAAAAAAAATTTTTTTCTTGCAAAAGGAGACATTACAAACAACGCTCGATAATTAGTTTGTGAGGAAATATTTTACCAGGTGATCATCTGCCACTTCAGCTAAGACAAGTTCTTTCCAAAGCAGCCTTCAATATACAACTTCTCCCCTAAACTTAAACCTGTTCACCCGATCCCCCTCAGCTTGAGCCCATTGTATGAGGGAACTATTATGGACTTCTGACAGTTCCTGGCGAAGAAAGACATCTCCTCCTCCATCCTCTCCATTCTTTCCACACGGGCTAACAGCTCATGCATCTCCTCCTCTCATTGAATCCCAGCCGACTGAGCGAAGGAGTTCTTGATCTCGTCCAGGTTGCGAGCCAGCGATTTGAGAGATGTCTTACGTCCATTAGTTGCTTCCCCACAAATCACGCATGGATTGCCCAGGGGGTCAATCCCTCCATCCTCAGTCAAGGGTCAGATGCTCTTTGTCAGCGCTTGTGCAGCCGCCACTGGTGCTGCGGTCAGATTCTCACCGACGTGTGTCGGAGGCTAGTCATCACCCAGGTTCAACAAGCCAGCTGCATCAAAAGACGACATAAATAAAGAAGGCCCAAAAAAAAAAGAAAAAAATTAAAACCTAACAAGAAAAACTGAGATTCCTCATACCAAGGAGTAGGTCTCACTCAAACGATGTAAGCGAGTGACGACAGAGCACACGTAGCCTGCATCCCAGACGGCGACAAAGCACCAACAACTTCTTGAATCCAAGGTAGCGGTAGAGCACTAACACTCTATTCAGTCGGTAGGTCTCGTGCTGCAGTAGAAGGTTGAGCCAAAGAATCGATGTCCAGGCTAGTCGCTCAAACTTTTCTTTGCTGAGGACCGAGGAACGAATCAGACGACCTCAAATGATCCACAGGTGAGACTGCTTTTCTCTTCTTGGCTGCTGTTTTCTTCTTCTTTTCAATTTCCAAGCAGTACCGCTCCTCTAGTTTCCCAAAAGGTGGGGGGGGGGGGGGATCAATCAAAAGATTCAACATGTTCTCCATGACAGTGCTTGACAGCCGGCTGATTCAGATGAGAAGAGATGCATCAAATATGAAATGCCAAAGAGTTCCATCATGCCCTAAATACAAGATCCAATCAATAGAGTTCAATTATTAAACCATTCATTAAAAAATAAATGCTATCTACTTTTTACACTAAATTATCTCATTCTTATCGTAGCGTCTCTTTCAAGAAGTAAGAGAATCAATAAAAAAAAATATGTTTATAAAAAATATGTAAGCATTAATTATGAGGAGATCTAACAATCCAAAAAAAAAGAACATAACAAAGGAGGGCCGACCGACTAAAGACTAGAGACCCACTTATCCGATCGGATGCAGCCGTCTGGGGCCAGAGAAAACAAAAACAAAGCTAATCTAGTCACTGAGGCAGCAGAATCTGAGCCGTTTGGTTAGAAACGAGATAAAGAGATATTCAAGCCAACAACTGCAAGAAAGCCGATCGAAGGCGACAATCTACCTTCCGATAAATCCTTTCTGAAAAAAAATGCAAACCCACAATATCACCAATCTTCCCACCAACGCTCCTGAGGCACCACATTAGGGATCAATAATTAACAATAGAATAAAAAGTTATATAGCTATCCCTTAGGCCCTCCTCATTGAATAGCGAACTACCTATCGGGTTACAGTGATTCACACTCTGCTCGATAGTCTAATGTTGCTCAACCGACAAGAGTTCTTCACCGAGAATCAAGAGTCGACAGCTAGACTATATCAGTCGACTGACAATGCCGACCAAGTCTAGTTGACCAAACCAATCATGTCGATCCAAAGCCAATGGAGCTTATTCAACCTGCGACACTGACTAAACCCATCCGATCAAATAGGCCTTGTCAAGCAGAAGCCATACGAGCTCAGTCGAATGAGTCAAATTGCATCCGAGCAATAGGCTCATACTTGTAAAATACTTAAAATATCATGTACAACCCTCATTAAAAGAAGTGCAAAAATGTAACATCACCATATTGTACTCCTCTCTATATAAATAGGGAAATCATTTTATGAGAATGGCATGATAGACATGACGTATTACTATTCGCTCTTCTCTCTGTCTCTCTCCTGACTTATGGTCTATTCCTTTGGAGTGATTCACGGACAAATCAGGGTTAAACATCCTAAAAAGTACAGTGAGCATGAATCATGTCACATACAAAAAGTAGAGCAGCTCAAAGAGAAGAAACTCACAATAAAGCTACCAGTAATATGGAGTGCATAAGAGAGTTCGTGAACAACAGATCCAGAAGCTGAAGGATCAAGCATTGGATTCAATCAGAGATGCATTGACTCGAGGAAAAGAGCAGTGTCCCCGAGAGAAAGGATCGACACCCAATGGCCAAAGAGCCCCTCTTAACTCTGGAAAAAGAAGAACAATCCCAGTACTTCGCTAGTGTTGGGTCGGCATTGATCGACCAACATCAATTCGGGCATAATGCAGTGCCCTGTCAGCTAAAGAATGCATTCTTTCAGCAAATATCTGAGGTCGTGCCCCTAGAGAGTTTTAAAATCCCGACAATAGAGTCCTATAAGGGTAGGACCGATCTGACTGACCACATGGCCTTGTTAGATTTGACTGTGTGTCTGCTGAGGATCACATACTGTAATGTCATCTTTTCTTTACCATGCTAAGGGAGTCAGCCCTCAGGTTGTTCAATGCATTGTCACTGGAGTGATTGCGTCATTTGTTGACTTTAAACAAAGCCACAAAAGAATTCATAGGCCCTCCTATAAATCTAATAGGGATTGAATGAGAGCATTCACTCGTTCATCACCCACTTCTAGAAGATGTTGGAAGTGCAGGACCTGAAATCCGCAGCAGCTCATGTTTCCTTAGCTCAAGGGCTGAATGAAGGACCATTATGATACGCACTAGGCTTGCAGTGATCGAAGATGATCAAATCGTTGGAACTAGCCAACAACCACATATCGACAGAAGGATACAATTCCTCCCCAACATCATTCAAAATAGAGCGAACTAAGTGCGCACCACAAAAGAGAGCCGACCAAGCAGAATGTCGGAAGCTGAGACACAATCCTCGTTGCTCGGCTTGAACTCTCCTTGAAGACTGATGAAGGCACTGAGATTACCAAGTGACCGATAGAGTGTACTACCGAGGGATTCAAGTCCAACAACCTAACCAGTGCCAGACTTAACAATGAGAATGTGTTATCATTCCCTTGTATTTTATTGTGAAGTTCATAAAAATATTTAAGTAAAATTTTTTGAATTATGCGCACAATCCTAGGTCCAACCAACACCCGGGGAACTAGAATCAATCCGTCAATAGTGGTTTCACTCGAGCGACAAAATCGATAGCAACATAAGCCGTCCGATCAACAAAGATTTTCCAAAACTAATAACAACACATGACATCTAATTGACCAATATTTTCAAAATCGATAACGATGCACTACGTCAAATTGATAAAGAATTTTTAAAACCGAAAATGAAGGATAAACGTGAGATCGAAAGTTGACCGATAGCGATGATTAACGTCCGATCGACAAAATACACAAGAACTGACACACAATGCTCATGCATCATAAAATCCTATGTTTTCAAGCTCAAAGTGGGTAAAGCTTTTGCAGTAATTTCCTAACCATTAATGACAAGATCTACAGTGGGTAGCATAAGAATCACCCCAGTAGAAAGTCTTGAGGGTTACCCCCATGAAGGCCGCGATAAATCCACTTAATACGTCTGGCGTAAGATGCAATTAAGGCGGCAACCTAACCAAGGAACAAAAACCCGGGAAGCATAAGTCTTGAGCCAGACAATAACTTAGCTAAATTGACTGAAGACATTCTTAAAAAAATTGATCCATCAATCATCACAAGCATTTATCACAGGGAAACTAAAATATATGGTAAAGGTAAATGCGAGAAATGAAGATGAAAATTGATCAAAAGCTTTGTTTTATTTAATGATTGAAAACTTACAAAGAGTCTTCTATGTGTTTCTTTACAAAGAAGCTTCTATGTGTTTCTTTACAAAGAATCTCCTATATGTCTCCTTACAAGTGTTCAAAAAAAAAAAAAAGACTTATTTTAAAGTTACAGGCGAAGCCGAAGACGAGTCAAACATTTAAAGACCCTCCATCCTCTTCATCGCTATCCTACGCTTCCTTGCCCTCCTCCAAGTTCGAAAGTATTCTAGCAAATTTATTCAGATCGACCCACTCATGGGAGAACAACTTCGCCTTTATCATCTGACTGGCAACTAAAGACATTCCTACCCCGAGCCATGCAGCAAGGAGTTCCACTTGTCGAGTGTGGGAAGAAAGTTAAGCGAAAAACTCATTAGATGTCTTCATTATCACCATTTCCTTTTGGGTTGGGTTCTCTCCCTGAGTAGCGGACAACAACTCCGACAGTCTAAGTACTTTGGCTTCAACCATCTTCGCCCAATTTTCCGCCGCCTTCGCCCTATCCTCAGCCTTTTCCAATTTTTACTCAGCCTCCAGCAGGATTGTTGACTGAAATACGAAGCTTCTTAGGCCATCAATTGATAACAGAAGATCATCTAGCCCAAACCTGAGAGACTTTGCTCATGATGATAGAATCGTAGACGCAGGCGTCCTGCAACAAGTCCACTTCCCCTTGGGTTATCATCGATCGTTTGGTCACGACAATGGACCCAAAAGCTTTCGAAGAGTATTTTCGAATCCCCAAAACAGAGCACAAAGAGCAGCTAACAGAGAAAAAGATGAGAAGCGAAGAGAAAAATATAGTAAAAACGTAGCGCCAATTCAACCCCTTACCCTTATATATAGGGTAACACAAAAAGTCGAACCGTGGAACCTTCACATGGGGATAAAAATATAACTGTACTGTAATTTTCAAAACAAGATGACAGGAAAATCACATCAACATAGAATTCGAGAAGGAAAAATGAATTTTACACTTAAAAAAGATATTACAAATAACACTTGAAAACTAATCCGAGAGGAAATATTTTACAAGGTGATCATCTTCCGCTTCAGCTAAGGCAAGTTCTTTCCAAAGTAGCCTCCTATGCAAAACTTCTCCCCCAAACTTAAACTGGTTCATCCAAGCCGCCTCGGCTTGAGCCCGTTGTATGAGGGAACTGTCCCAGATTTCTGACAGTTCCTGGCGAAGAAAGGCCATCTCTTCCAGCCTCTTCATTCTTTCCACACAAGCTAGCAACTCTCGTATCTCCTCACGTTGAATCCTTGCCGACCACGAGGAGTTTGCGATCTCATCCATGCGACAAACCAAAGATTTGGAAGACGTCTGATACCTTCTATTTCCTTTGAATCACTCACTTTCTCTACGATTCCACTCCAAATTTAATTAAAATCTGTAATGAAGAAGATATCTCTCACTTCTCATCTTCTCCTCCAAATCGAAGCAAGCCTCCGCGCGTGGGTTGCCTGAGTAGTCAATCCCTTCCTCATTGTTCGAGAGTCGGCTGCTCAAGGCCAGCACCTAAGAAGCCACCACTAGTGTTGCGGTCGGATTCTCACCGATGTTTGTCAGAAATGAGTCATCACCCAAGTTCAGCAGACCAACTACATCAAAAGATGACATAAATAAAAGAAGACTCAGAAAAAAAGAAAAATAAAAACCTACAATGTAAGACCGAGACTCCACATACCAAAGAGTTCATCACACTTAGATGATGTAATGGGCACGATAACTCACAGGGTGGCGGCAAAGCACAAACAATCTCCTGTGACCTGGGCAGTGGTAAAGCAACAGCAGCTTCTTGTGTCGCGGGCGGCGACAAATCAATCAGTAGATCTTGTGCCACAGAGAAGGTTTTGTCGATGGATCGATTGTCAGGCCTATTGCCCAAACTTTACTCTGCTGAGGACCAAGGAACAAATCAGACGACGCCACATGATCCATTGACACGACTATTTTTTTATTTTTGGGTGTGGTTTTTTTCTTCC